AAAATGGGGAGCAGCCGCATGGAACATGGATGTACGAGCGACGTCCATGACCATGCCAATGCGGCGCTCAGCAATCCCATTTTGCTGTGGAGAGGCCGGAAGCGTGAACGTCTGGCGGATGCCCTCCGCACGACAGAAGGCTCGTAGAAGGTCGGAGGAAAACTCTCCACCTCTGTCAGAGTGCAGACGCAGAACAGGAAAGTCCGAGCCGAAACTCTCTCTGAGCTGGAGACGGGCAGCGCGGATCCAGTCGATCAACACCTCAGTGACCTCACCCTTGCGGCGCAAGGGGAAGACTGAGGTGTAACGCGAGTAGTCGTCAACCACCAGAAGGAAGTAGCGCTCGTGACCCTGTCCACGGACGCGGGCTGGGCCCCACACGTCCATGTGGAGAGTCTGCAGCGGAGCCTCTGTCGGAGGAAACTCGGAGGAGTGAGGAGCGGCGCGCTGCCGCCCCTCGACGCAGGGAACGCAGGTAGGGGCAGGCCCCGGGGGAAGGGGAGGGAGGGACCGGGGCAGACCAGAGACAAGGACACGGGAGGCCATGCCCCGGAGACGAGGCAGGGAGGGGTGACCAAGGCGGTGGTGCCAGAGGAGAGTCTGGTGAGACAGGAGACGACACGAGCAGGGGGCAGACTCAGGACCAGACCTGGACGCTGCAGCAAACACCTGACTCGACGCAGCTACCTGACCAGACGCAGGAACCGAAGGAGACTCGGTAGTGAGTGTGTACAGGCTCGACCCTGGCTGACGGGTAAACGTGGCCAAGTGTCGGCCTGTCCGAGCACACGTGCAGTGGGTCACTCGCTGACTCGCAGGAGTGAACTGGTCAACCCCCCCATCCTGTAGGTCAGCACCACTCACCAAGTTCGTAGAGAACAAGGGGAGGTAAAGACCTGACAGGGAGCCAGAAGGGGCCGCCGGATACGGTAGGACAGTGGAGTAGTGGGCAAGGACAGGACCCCCAGAGGGGTCTGCCAGGGAGACTGCAACCGGCCGACTAAGCGGCGTGAGTGTGGTGCGGTCTCGAAAGAAGGAGCGAGAAGCTCCCGAGTCAAGGGTGAAGGTGTGGAAGATCGCAGCAGGCGCAGCACCAGAGAGAGCAGACTCACCAGTACCTGGAGCAGTAGACTCACGAGCACCTAGAGCAGTAGCCTCACCGGCACCTGGAGCAGGAGACGCACCAGCACCTAGAGCAGCAGCCTCACCAGCACCTAGAGCAGAAGACTGGATACCGGGGTCAGGCGGCACACACAGGTAACAGGCACCCTCAGCACTAGTAGGCAATGCATACATGGCAGTGAGGATAGCATCAGAGTCAAGAGCATAGATATCTACCCTCTGCCTAAGCAGCTCCACCCAGTCGGGGAGCTCAGCCGCGTCGCCAAACTCTGTACGCCAGGCGTCGCTCAGACGAGCGAAGCAGCGGGACTCTGTGCTACCAAACGTCCCGCAAGGCTGACCAGTCCGAGCATCAGTGCGAATCGCGTACGGGCAGCGAGCAGTACCCCGTGACCCTCCACGCTGAGCGTACCACTCACGAAGCTGCTGGGGCGAAAGGACCGCGAGCGGACGACACTGCAGCTGCACCTGGCCACTACAAGAAGCTCCCGAACTACTCACTCCAGGACGACTCCCACTACGGCCACCCCGACAACCCCAACTAGCGTACCACTCACGAAGCTGCTGGGGCGTGAGGGACTCACGCGGACGTCGCTGGAGCTGCATCTGGCCACCGCCAGGAGCAGCAGTAGCAGTAGTAGCCGCAGTAGCAGCAGTAGCAGCAGTAGCAGTAGTAGCAGTAGTAGCCGCAGTAGCAGCAGTAGCAGTAGTAGCAGTAGTAGCAGTAGTAGCAGCAGTAGCAGTAGTAGCAGCGCGGCCACCCCTACAACCCCAGCTAGCGTACCACTCACGAAGCTGCTGGGGCGTGAGGGACTCACGCGGACGGCGCTGGAGCTGCATCTGGCCACGCTAGGAGCAGCAGTAGCTGTAGAAAAAACAGTAGCAGCAGGAGCAGCAGTAACAGCAGTACGGGCAGGGCAGTGCTCACCAGTGGCGAGAAGGGCAGGCGTACGACGGCGGCAACGGCGAGGCCGCTACCACTGCAGGGCGAGGGCTCCGTGGTAGCTGCTGAAGGGCGGGGCCGCGACCGCGGCAGGGAGCTCCGCGGCAGCTGCTGCAGGGCGGGGCCGGGCCGCGACGGCAGCTGCTGCAAGGCGGGGCAGGGCCGCAACGTCAGCTACTGCAGGGCGGGGCAGGGGCCCCAACGGCAGCTACTGCAGGGCGGGGCAGAGCCGCGACGTCAGCTGCTGCAAGGCGGGGCAGGGGCCCCAACGGCAGCTGCTGCAGGGCGGGGCAGGGCCGCGACGTCAGCTGCTGCAGGGCGGGGCAGGGGCGGCCGCCAGTAGCAGCAGTAGCAGCAGTAGCACCTAGGGCAGCAGCACCTAGGGCTCCTTTTTTTTTTTTTTTATTATTTATTTTAGGGTTTGGCAGGTCGCATTCGGCGCTGCAGAGGCGGCTCGCGGGCTGCAGCGAGGGGGACGGAGCGCGGCTCCCCAGGGCGCCGCGACGGAGCAGCGGGGGGGGCCGCGCGCGGCTCCCCAGGGCGTCGCGACGGGGCAGCGGGGGGTCGCGCGCGGCTCCCCAGGGCGTCGCGACGGGGCAGCGGGGGCCGAGCGCGGCTCCCCAGGGCGTCGCGACGAGGCAGCGGGGGCCGAGCGCGGCTCCCCAGGGCGTCGCGACGGGGCAGCGGGGGCCGAGCGCGGCTCCCCAGGGCGTCGCGACGGGGCAGCGGGGGGCCGAGCGCGGCTCCCCAGGGCGACTCGACGTGGCAGCGGGGGGTCGCGCGCGGCTTACCAGGGCAGCGCGACGGGGCAGCGGGGGGCGACACGAGGGTCGCAGAGGCAGCGCCCTCGGGCGTCACGCGGCTCGGCAGGGCAGAGGCAGCGCCCACGGGCGACACGCGGCTCGGCAGGGCAGCGCGCTGGCTGCAGGAGCAGCACCCACGGGCTGCAGGGGCAGGCACTGATGCAGAGGCAGCGCCCACGGGCTGCAGGGGCAGGCACGGCTGCACGGGCGGGCACGGCTGCAGGGGCAGCACGGTCGCAGGGGGAGCACGCCGGCTGCAAGGGCAGAGCGGCTGCAGGGGCAGCTAAAAAAAAAAAAATTCAGTTAGGGCAGGGCGGAACGTTCGGTGGGCCCTAGGAACGATTCTGCTCTAATACCATGTGAGAATATGAACAAGGAATGAATTGACTAGGGAACAAGGGGGGTACAAGTAGGAAACCTAGAAATGTTGTACCCTGTAGTGTCTACCCCACAACAGCCTAGATAGACTAAAGCATATGAGTTTGACACCACGGGCAGGGGTAGCACGACGCGACGATGCGGGGCAGGACGGACAGCGCGACGCGACGCGACGGGATGGGACGGACTGCGCGACGCGGACGGGCAGCGCGACGCGACGCGAAGGGACGGGACGGACTACGCGACGCGGACGGACGGGACGGGACGGACGGGCAGCGCAACGCGGACGGACGGGACGGGACGGACGGCGCGACGCGGACGGACGGGACGGGACTGAAGGCGCGACGCGGACGGGCAGTGTGACGCGGACGGACGGGACGGGACGGACGGCGCGACGCGGACGGACAGCGCGACGCGGCGGGACAGTTGGAGCGACGTAACGGCAGGCGCAGCGGGCGCTAGGGCACGAGAGCGACGTAACGGCAGGCGCAGCGAGCGCTAGGGCACGAGAGCGACGTAACGGCAGGTGCAGCGGGCGCTGGGGCACGAGAGCGACGTAACGGCAGGCGCAGCGGGTGCTAGGGCACGAGAGCGACGTAACGGCAGGCGCGATAGGCGCTAGGGGACAGTATGAGCGTAACGGGCACTAGGGTACGGGACAGGCTCGGGCGCTACGGACGTGAACGAGAGAAACGGGATCCCACAGGATCCTAACCTAGGTGATACCATGTCAAGAATGCAAGTGTTGGTTCATTGATGTGGGTTGGGGTACATATAACAAACCCTAACATGTGTACCCCCTAAGACAAACCTCACTACAGGCTACAACATTTGACATCGGGGGCGGCGCGACGGTCGACGGGGAGGAACGCGCGGGTTCCCGGGGGCGGCGCGACGGTCGACGGGGGGGACGTGCGGGTCCCCGGGGTGACGCGCGAGGTAGTAAACCGCCGCGCGCCTCGGGGCGCACGGCGGGCAGAAAACCGCCATGCGCCCCGAGCGCGTGGCGGGAAGAAAAAACGTCGCGCGCCACGGGGCGCGCGACAGACAGGACAGCAGCGGAAGCAGGTGGGCCCACAGGCCAGGAGCGTACTCGCTCTGATAGCATGTAGAGAATGCAGACAGAAAGTTAGAACAGAAGGGGTTTTCACTAGCAGCAGATAGGATACATATAGTAAACCCTAATTTGGGCTGTACTCACTATAGAGTATCCCACTGCAGACTAGACAATTATAGCATTCTGACAATTACTTGTTTCCAACACGTATTCCCCTGTACTCAAATATATACGATTATATTTGCATGTTTTAATCATCTCGGTCATTTACATTCACTCTGATCTGAGGTCAAGGGCCCACCACTACCGCACATTACTTGCGAACCTTCATGAGGAGATCCGAGGGATGATCAATTTAGATTGCAACACATCATACGTGGAAGCATGATCATTTCGAGTATTTTATGTGATGTTTGTGATACGGGCTTACTCATAATTGTGATTTTCATGACTTTTTTGCGACTGTCTGGTGCTTCTGTTCATGACTTTTTCGTGACGCAAAAATGTCACTCAACAAAAGTAACGTGAAAGTCACGTTGACGTCACTTTACTCACTTGTCTTTTCCTAAAAGTTTTAGCTCGTCCCAGCGAAATTTAGGAGACCCCGAAGGTGAGTCTGCGACGAAGCGCGGACCAGCGAGCGCGCGGCGACTTTGTGGCAGCCGCGGCTTGTGGTGTGGTGAGCGTCCGTGGCGCGATGGAGCGAAACGCTCTGAATCGGCAGCTTCTGCAGCAGAAGCTCGCACTGGAGGGTAAGCGCGATGGGCGTTTTCCAGGCAGCTTTCCGAGGGCGCGCGGGAGGACGCGGGGCGAGGAAGAGGGAGAGTGAAAAGGAGAGGAGAAAAAGGGAAGGTCGAAACTGGGGATTCGGGAGGGCGAAGAGCGAGGTGATGCGGATGAGGAAAAGGAAAGGTCGAACACGGTTAGATGAAAGAGGGTGGGGGAGCTTAGCGAGGCTCTCCTTATATCATAGCAATTCGATTTGCGGCGTACGGCTCGACCTGCCCTATCACCCCATCATTACAACCCGCGGCGTTCTCTTCTCGACCTGCCGTAACCCCTTTCCTTCCCCGCTCTCCTCTCTTGCCTCCCTTCCCCCACAACCCCGCCTTCTACCCCACCTTCCACTTGTGATGCAGAGCAACTGCGCGCGGAGCAGCAGCGCCAGCAGCACTCGGCGACCGTCCCCGCCGTGGCAGGCGACGGCAAGGGCGACGCGGAGCAGTCGCTGAAACCCGTGCACGCATGGCGGTGGGAGCAGCAGCAGCAGCAGGGGCAAGCGGGTGGGTCGGATGAGAAGGCGCTGCCTCTGCAGCAGCAGAAGCAGCAGCACGAGTCGGGGCATCAGCAGTCGCACGAACAGCAGGAGCTGGGATCGCAGCAGAACGAGCGTGAGGGGGAGCAAGGCGAGCAGGAGTCAGCGTGCTTTGCCCCCTCAGTGTCCACACCCCAGCTATGCCGCCCGCCAAGGGCGCAGCAGCGGTACAGGCAGAGCGAGAGCGAGCAGCAGCAGGAGGAGGAGGGGCGGGACAGCGAGCAGTCTCCGCAGATCCACTCGCTCTCACCCTTGCAGCCGCTTTCCCCTGCTGCCCCGTCGGTGCTTCTGTCAGAAGAACGGCAGCAGAAGCAGCAGCAGCAAGAGCAGCAAGAAAAGCAGCAGCAGCAGCAGCAGCAGCAGCAGCAGCAGCAGCAGCAGCAGCAGCAGCAGCAGCAGCAGCAGCAGCAGCAGCAGCAAGAACAGCAGCAGCAGCAAGAGCAGCAGCAGGGGCAGCAGAAGCAGCAGCGGCAGCAGCAGCAGCAGCAGCAAGAACAGCAGCAGCAGCAAGAGCTGCAGCAGGGGCAGCAGAAGCAGCAGCGGCAGCAGCAGCAGCAGCAGCAGCAGCAGCAGCAGCAGCAGCAGCAGCAGCAGCAGCAGCAGCAGCAGCAGCAGCAGCAGCAGCAGCAGCAGCAGCAGCAGCAGCAGCAGCAGCAGCAGCAGCGGCGGCGGCGGCAGCAGGAGCACCAGCAGGGTCAGCCGCAGCAGAAAAATGAAACTCAACAGCAGCTGGAGCAAAGCCAGCAGCAGCTGCAGCCACGACTGGTTGTCCTTGCCCTTCCTTGCACTGACAGTGAGACCCCTTCCTCGCTTCCACTGCCTCTCCCAGACGCATCTCCGGCTCGTTTTCCTCCTCCTTCACTGCCTCCTCCTCTCCTTCCTGACGACTTGCAGCAGCAGCAGAAGAAAGAACAGCAACGGCATGCTAGTGAGCAGCAAAAGCAACAGCTGCAGCACCAGCTACAGAGTCAAGAGCAGCCGTTGCAGCAACAGGAGCAGCAGCGCTATGAGCAGCAGAAACAGTTAGTGGAGCAGCAGCAGATTCATCAGCTGCCGCAGGAGCAAGTTATGCAACAGCAGCAGCAGCAGCAGCAGCAGCAGGAGTGTAATGCAACGCAGCAACAGCAGGAGTGTAATGCAACGCAGCAACAGCAGGAGTGTAATGCAACGCAGCAACAGCAGGAGTGTAATGCAACGCAGCAACAGCAACAGGATCAAGAGCAGCTGTCGCCGCAACAGGAGCTGCAGCAGCAACGCCAGCAGGAGAAAAAGGAGCACGGGCCACAACAACCGCAGCAGCATCAAGAGCAGCAGCGGCAGCAGCAGGAACACCAGCAGCTACAACAGCAGCCTATTCAGGAGGTGCTTCGACAGCAGCAGCAAACACAGCCCATGCCTCAGCAGCAGGGCCTACAGCAGCAGCACATGCGGGTCCGGAAGCCGCATGTGCACGCAGCACAACAGCCGGCCTATCCATGGAACCAGCATCACTATGTTCGCCCACACAATATGCTGCAGCAGCAGCAGCAGCAGCAGCAGTTACATCAGTATCAGCAGCAGCAGCCACATCAGTATCAGCAGCAGCTGCCATTTCAGTACCACCATCAGCAGCAGCACCAGCACCAGCAACATCAGTATCAGCCACAGAAGCAGCAACATCATTATCAGCAGCAGCGACAGGCAGACCAGTTTGGTGGAAGGGGCACAGTGGAACCCATGTATGCGGGCACGCAAGACGTGGATGGCATGTATGGTACGCCAATGACACAAGGCCCTGTGGGCAATAGAGCGTTCTGCACCTCTGCCGCTGGTGCGGTGGGTGGTGGCGGCTTGGGTGGTGTGCATGGTGTGGGTGGTGTGGGTGGGGTGCATGGTGTGCGTGGCAGTGGCAGGCATGGCAGGGATGCGGAGATCCATGCGGTGAAGGAGCAAGTGTTTGGCATCCAGGGCCCATTCAACCCGCACCAACTCGAGGTAAGAGGGTCATTCAGTCCCAATCCGTATCCGAAGGACATTAGCTCTCGCCTCAGGCAGGAAAGGAAAGCTGGTTAGTCTACGAATGCTTTTCCTGGGACTGCAAGATTCTGAGTCGCACATGTGTATTCTGATGTGATGCTACTTGTTATTGTCCAGCACTGTGGCTCTTGTAATGTGGATCCGTTTCTTAGTTCCGCCAGCAATCTTTCCTTTCTGTGAAACAGAAGCATGGTTCTGTTTTTGTCCTTTTTTGTCATCACGATTCATGCTCCCTCCCATTGCTTTTCTCCTCTACCAAACTCACCTGCTTCCCACCTCCTCACTGCCTTTTGCTCAACCTCTCTCCTCCCATCCCTCTAGTGCCTCCTTTCAAGTTTCACCTGCCACCCACCCTCATTCAGCCCGCTCCCCACTCTCTCCCCATCCCTCCTCCCCACTTCTCCCTACTCCTGTCTAAAACCCTCTCTGCTTCTGCTCTCACCCACACCTTCCTTTTCCCTCTCTCCTCCCCCCCAACCACCCCCACCCACCCAACCTCCCCCCCCCCCCACCTCCCCCCGCCGCCCATAAGATCATCCGAGCACTACTAGCGCGGCCGCCCAGCAACGTGCTGGCGGTGCTACCGGCGGGCAGCGGCAAGAGCCTGTGCTTCCAGCTCGCCGCCGTGCTGCTGGGGGGCGTCACCCTCGTCGTCAGCCCCTTCCGCGCCCTCATCCGCAACCAGGTTTGCTGGGTGGGAGAGGTGGGGGGAGGGAGGGAGGGGAGGGTCGTGTGGGGGAGGGAGGGTAGGGGGGGGGACGTGGGGAGTAGGGGAGAGAAGGGAAGGGATGTGTGGGGAAGCGAGGGAGGGGAAGGGACGTGGGGAAAGGGTGCGGGAGAGGAGAGTGAGTGTGTGGAGAAGGACAGAGGGGAGGGGTTGGGAACAGGGGGAGGGAAAACGGTTGCTATGGAAATGAGCTGCTAGAGACGGGGGCTGTCTCTTCCCACCCTGGTGGCTGGGAAAGAGAGCGTGCATGCACGCAGGCTCTGACCTGCGAGCACCAAACCAACCATGGCATGGCACCACCAACGTGCAACGCCACACAGCCCACCCACACCACAAACACACCACTCACACCCCCATTCCCCCCCTTACCCCCCGGTCTGGGCCCCACCCCACCCACCCACCAACCTCTCCATGTGCTGACGACCAGGTGCAGGCGCTGAGACAGCTGCCGATCTGTGTGGGCATGGTGCTGGGGCACCCATCCATGGAGGACCGCCGCCACCGCCAAGCTGTCTTCGCCGCCCTCCGAGGCGACGCCAACGCGCCGCTCTCCCTGCCCCGCCACTCGCTCTCCACCCCCACCGCCAGCATTGCTGCAGGCCACGCACCTGGGGGCATGGCAGGAGGGGCGGGTGCGGGTGCGGGTGTGGGTGTGGGGGTGGGGGTGGGATGGGGGGGGGCGGGGCGGGAGCACTTGTGTGTGTACGTGACGCCAGAGGCGCTGGAGAAGTGCCGGGAGTTGACAGCAGCGCTGCAGCAGTGCTACCAGCGCAGGGCACTGCGACTCATTGTCGTGGATGTGAGTGCTGCCTGCTGGCCCTGCCCTGGTGGGTGAGGGAGGGAGGGAGGGAGGGAGGGAGGGAGGGAGGGAGGGAGGGAGGGAGGGAGGGAGGGAGGGAGGGAGGGAGGGAGGGAGGGAGCACTGCACTCTACAACGGAGGGAGTGTTGCAGGGGTACGAGGTAGTTTCCCAACATTCCTCTTGTCATTCCCTCTCCAAACCGTCTCATTCATCCCCCCCCTCTTGCTCTCTCCCGTCCTTCCCCCCCCCCTCCCTAACTCGCCTTCTCCGCCCCTCTACCTCTCTCTCCTTCGCTTTCTCCCCTCTCCCTCCGCTCTTCGCCTCTCCCGCCTTCTCCCTCCATCCCACCCAGGAGGCGCATCACTGCAACGGCAGCGACCCCTTCCGCCCCTTCCTCAAGATAGTGGGCGAGCATCTGCGTGGCTGCTTCCCAGGCGTGCCTGTCTTCGCCATCACTGTACCTACCCACCCACCCACCGCTGCCGCTCGCCCTTCCCTCCTGCACGCCTCTCTCTTTGCATGCCTGCCTGCTATGACCACATCACCTCTTGTGGTTTTCCCCTCCTTGTGGTTTCCCCCTCCTTGTGGTTTTCCCCTCCTTGTGGTTTTCCCCTCCTTGTGGTTTCCCCCTCCTTGTGGTTTCCCCCTCCTTGTGGTTTTCCCCTCCTTGTGGTTTTCCCCTCCTTGTGGTTTCCCCCTCCTTGTGGTTTTCCCCTCCTTGTGGTTTCCCCCTCCTTGTGGTTTCCCCCTCCTTGTGGTTTCCCCCTCCTTGTGGTTTTCCCCTCTTCTCGTCTGTCTTACCCCTCGCCATATGTTCCTTCCCCCTTCACCTCGAACATCCCCCCCTGTGCACAGCCTCGTCCTTCCCCTTCCACATCCCATCGTCTTTTCATGCCTCCATTTCTCACTTTGTCCCCTATTCCTGCCTTCTTTCTTACCACCACCATCCCACTTCAATTTCACAAGGCATCTTGTCCGCCTTCCTGCCCCCCCCCAATTGCCATTCCCATCACAGTCTGGCCCTGCACCTCGTGCTCACTGCTCTCAATCCGCACATGCCGCTTGCTGCCGTGCACTGCCTGCCTTGCGCTTCTTCGCCACTACCCTCTCCTCTCTCTTAACATTGCCTTGGCCCATTGCTCTTGCCAATACACCTTCTGCTTTTACCTCTGTTCCCTGATTTTGGTTCATCCTTCCCCCACCCATCCCCCCCACCCTTCGCCCGGTCCCTTTCCCCACCTGTGATATCTGTCAGGCGACAGCCAACGAGGCAGCACAGCAGGAGCTGAGGGCGAGGCTGGGACTGCAGATGAGCAACACGCAGACCTTCGTCTCCTCCATCCGCCTGCCCCACATGCACTACGAGGTGCCGTGCCTGCTTGCGCTGCGCTCCATTGCCGGCGCATGGCCTCATAGAGTCTGCTTGCTTGCTCATGGCTTTCCTGCTGTGACACGCCCAAAAGAGAGTCAAATCAAAAGTAGTGAGTAGAAATAGCAAGGAGAGGCCATGGTACCAGCTGAGGTTGCAAATTATTTAGCCAGAGGTCGCGCACACACTCGTGCTGGAGGAGGCTTGCTTGGCTAGTCCTGCCAAGCCTTCACCCGCCCAACACCTACCCTAATGCCCGGCCTTTTCAACAAGCCCTAGCCACTAACCTTCTTCTGTAGTTTGCTATGCAGCAATCCGAGTCATGAAGCTGCCACCAGCTCACTCACCTCCAGTACCCATCTTACCTTTCCCCTCCTCCTCCTCTCACATTCTCTCCCGTGCTTCCTTCACGTTCCTGCCTCCTCCCTCTTCCCCTCCTTACCCTCCCACCTAGGTGTGGGTGAAGCACAAGAGTGTGGTGGCAGGCATCTGGGCATGGTCTTGACAAGCTCTTTGCTCCCCCCTCCCCCCACTCCCTGCCCCAGGTGCGGGTGAAGCACAAGAACGTGGCGCAGACGTGGTGGCGTTCATCCAGGTGAATTTTTGAGTCAATTAAAATAAACTCTTTGATACCCCTCCCCCTTCCCTCCCCCCAGGTGCGAGTGAAGCGCAAGAGTGTGGTGGCAGACATGGTGGAGTTCATTCAGAGCACGTACCCCGGACACACAGGCCTCGTGTACTGCTGGCGCCGCGAGGACACCGAGGAGGTCCGTTCTTACTCTACACACTGTTGGGAGAGTGTAAGGAGAGTGTTGGGAAAGTGCTGGGACAGTGTTGGGACAGTGTTGCGACAGTGTTGGGACAGGTTTGGGACAGTGTTGCGACAGTGATGCGACAGTGTTTGGACAGTGTTGTGATAGTGTTACGACAAGTGTTGGGACAGTGTTGCGACAATGTTGTGACAGTGCTGCAACTGTGTTGCGACAGTGTTGCGACAGTGTTGGGACAGTGTTGCGACAGTGTTGCGACAGTGTTGCGACAGTGTTGCGACAGTGTTGCGACAGTTTTGGAACAATGTTGCGACAGTGTTGCTTCAGTGTTGCGCCAGTGTTGCGACAGTGTTGCGACAGTGTTGCGACGGTGTTGAGACTTTGTTGCGACATGGTTGCGACCGTGTTGCGACAATGTTTCGACAGTGTTGCAACAGTGTTGCGACAGTGTTGGGACAGTGTTGCGAAAGTGTTGGGACAGTGTTGCGAGAGTGTTGCGACTGCGGAGATAACGCAATCAACGGGAGCTAGACTACGGGAAAGGCACAGGGTAGGAGTGATCTCGTGCTCACACTACTTGCTTATTCACGGGGAAATCCGGCAAGAGTTTCATTAGCAAAAGTTTACAACAATGGTGAGAACAACAGTGGCAACACTGACTACATCAGAGCTAGCAAGCAAGTCGGTCGACTTCCAGTGCAGCACAGTCGACCGCGGTCCAGCGTTGTAAAGCTCGCACCGCTCCGGCGCTGTAAAGAAGAGGCTTGCCAACGTTGCAAGTCCACGGTGTGCCAACGATGCAGCAAGTCGGCTGCACAGCGTTGCACCCGCATGACAACGGTGCACCCTTCGCAGGTGCGCGCGGTTGGTTGGTGCTCCACGCCTTGTCAAGTGCACAGCGCAGACGCCTGGCACAGTACACGCCAGCGACTGCGCCTACCAGCCACGTCGACCTCGGGATACCACTTCTGAGGTCGTCCTCGCAGACACCACCCTGGCGACCATCGCACACGTCGCCCGGGCAAGTCGGTCGACCGGGCAACCACGCCTGGTCGTCCAGCCTACCCGGTCGCCGTCTACACCAGACCGGCGTCCCAAGAACCAATATCCTAGAACCGGTATCCAAGCACCCAGGTCGGGGTCCTGACGCCTAGGTCGGCGTCCAGGCGCCCGTGACGCCGTCCGGACGCCCAGGTCGGCGTTCAGGAGCCTGGGACATAGACCAGACGCACAGGACGGTGTCATCCTGCTCGGCGCCCTCAAGCCAGGCGCCCTCCAGCCAGGCGCCCTCCAGCTCGGTGCTCTCCAGCCAAGCGCCCTCTGGCTCGGCGCCCTCTGGCTCGGCGCCCTCCAGCCAGGCGCCCTCCAGCTCGGCGCCCTTGCCGTGGCCCCCGTGCCCACTGCTGCAGGTCGGCTACATCCCCCTGCACACCCGACCACGAGGTTGGCGTCATGCCGCCTAGGTCGGCGTCCAGGCGCCCGTGACGCCGTACGGACGACCAGGTCGGCATTTAGGAGCCGGGGACGCCGACCAGACGCCCAGGACGGCGTCCTCCTACTCGGCTCCCTCCAGCCAGGCGCCCTCCAGCTCGGTGCCCTCTAGCCAGGCGCCCTCTGGCTCGGCGCCTTCCAGCTCGGCGCCCTTGCAGTGGCCTCCGTGCCCACTGCTGCAGGTCGGCTACATCCCCCTGCACACCCGACCACGAGCGACAGTGTTGCGACGGTGTTGGGACAGTGTTGCGACAGTGTTGCGACAGTTTTCGGACAGTGTTGGGACAGTGTTGGGACAGTGTTGCGACAGTGTTGGGACAGTGTTGCGACAGTGTTGCGACAATGTTGGGACAGGGTTGTGACAATGTTGCGATAGTGTTGCGACAGTGGTGCGATAGTTTTCGGACAATGTTGGGACAGTGTTGCGACAGTGTTGCGACAATGTTGCCACAGTGTTGTGACACTGTTCGGACAATGTTAGGACAGTGTTTTCACAGTGTTGCTACAGTCTTGGGAAAGTGTTGGGACAATGTTGGGACAGTGTTGCGACAGTGTTGCGACAATGTTGCGACAGTGTTGCGACAGATTTCGGACAGTGTTGGGACAGTTTTGGGACAGTGTTGCGACACTGCTGGGACAGTGCTGCAACACTGCTGGGACAGTGTTGCGACACTGTTGCGAGAGTGTTGCGATAGTGTTGCAACAGAGTTGCGGCGGTGTTGGGACAGTGCTCGAACGGTGTTGCAACAGTGTTGCGACAGTGTTGGGACAGTGTTGGGACCGTGTTGCGACAGTGTTGCGACAGTGTTGGGACCGTGTTGCGACAGTGTTGCGACAGTGTTGCGATATTGTTCGGAGAATGTTGGGACAATGTTGCTACAGTCGTGGGACAGTGTTAGGACAGTGTTGCAACGGTGTTGCGACAATGCTGCGACAGTGTTGCGATAGTGATGCGGCAGTTTTGCGACATTGATGCGACAGTGTTGCGACAATGTTGCGACAGTGTGGTGACAGTGTTCGGACAATGTTGGGACAGTGTTGGGACAGTGTCTGGACAGTGTTGCTACAGTGTTGGGACAGTGTTGGGACAGTGTTGGGATAGTGTTGCAACGGTGTTGCGACAGTGTTGCGACAGTGTTGGGACAGTGTTGCGACGGTGTTGGGACAGTGCTGGAACGGTGTTGCGACAGTGTTGCAACAGTGTTGGGACAGTGTTGAGATCCTGGGTAAAGCAGCGGCGGTAGGGAAAAAGGGTGAGGTGCTACTCACAGACAGAGCTACTCAGGTGCGACTGAACGTGCACAGATTGACTCCTCTAGTAGTGGATGGCGGGGTTTTGGTGGGAGAAGCTGGCCTTCCTCTAACAAGACTCAGGATGTCGGTGCTTTGTGAGAAGGGCAAGGGTGCTTCTCTGAAAAAACTGCGGGCAGCTTTGAAGGGACCAGCTGAACAACCGAAGCAGCAAAAGAAGTGGGAGGAGGAGTATGGAAAACCGATAGACTGGAAAGGGAGCATCCAGAAGCGGGACAGTCTGGTCACACCGGGCAGGGCTCGCGAGGTTATCTTGCGACTGCACAGCAAGAACCTCCAAGTCGGAGAGAGACTACACTTCATGCCGGATCGAATCAGCTGCCCACACTGCAAAGAAGTCGAAACCCTAGGGCACTGTTTGCTGGAGTGTAACAGCATACAGCCTGTCATCGGCGCGCTAAAAGGGGCTCTGAGAGAGATGAATCCGAGCAGGGCAGTGGAGAGGCTGGAGGACTTCTTGTTCGCGGATGATGGCACGAAGTCAGGCTTCCCGGAGAAACCGTTGATTGCGGTGGCTTTCCACCAGATCTGGCTGGAGCGGTGTGAAGCGGCTTTTCGGCAGGACAAATTTCAGCCGCGAAGAGTACTCAGGAAGATCGGCGTGAACTTCATGAAACATGTCAGAATCTACAGTGCGTGCAAGAAACAGTCAAAGGGGGTGGCAGACGTGGAGACGGAAGGTGTGGTGCAGAACTGGAAACACCTGGCGAAGGACGAGGCTAGGATGTGAGCCGGATCTTCGAGGATGAGGACACGCTACTGTGGAAGGAGGGATTCAGATCGGTTTGGAACAACCCGAGAACTATCTTTCATCCACCTTAATAATCCACGGAAGGGTAGTGTAGACCGTTGGTTTGCCAGACCCCTTCCTCCCTCACAGTTACGACTGTGGATGTACCCGCTTTTATAAGTGTAATACATCCTTAAGTGTTGGGACAGTGTTGCGACAGTGTTGCGACAGTGTTGGGACCGTGTTGCGACCGTGTTGCGACATTGTTGGGACGGTTTTGGGACAGTGTTGCGCCAGTGTTGCGACAGTGTTGCGATAGTGTTGCGACAGTGTTGAGACAGTGTTGCGACAGTGTTGTGACATTGTTGCGACAGTGTTGCGACACTGTTGCGAGAGTGTTGCGATAGTGTTGCAACAGAGTTGCGGCGGTGTTGGGACAGTGCTCGAACGGTGTTGCAACAGTGTTGCGACAGTGTTGGGACAGTGTTGGGACCGTGTTGCGACAGTGTTGCGACAGTGTTGGGACCGTGTTGCGACAGTGTTGCGACAGTGTTGCGATATTGTTCGGAGAATGTTGGGACAGTGTTGCTACAGTCGTGGGACAGTGTTAGGACAGTGTTGCAACGGTGTTGCGACAATGCTGCGACAGTGTTGCGATAGTGATGCGGCAGTGTTGCGACATTGATGCGACAGTGTTGCGACAATGTTGCGACAGTGTGGTGACAGTGTTCGGACAATGTTGGGACAGTGTTGGGACAGTGTCTGGACAGTGTTGCTACAGTGTTGGGACAGTGTTGGGACAGTGTTGGGATAGTGTTGCAACGGTGTTGCGACAGTGTTGCGACAGTGTTGGGACAGTGTTGCGACGGTGTTGGGACAGTGCTGGAACGGTGTTGCGACAGTGTTGCAACAGTGTTGGGACAGTGTTGAGATCCTGGGTAAAGCAGCGGCGGTAGGGAAAAAGGGTGAGGTGCTACTCACAGACAGAGCTACTCAGGTGCGACTGAACGTGCACAGATTGACTCCTCTAGTAGTGGATGGCGGGGTTTTGGTGGGAGAAGCTGGCCTTCCTCTAACAAGACTCAGGATGTCGGTGCTTTGTGAGAAGGGCAAGGGTGCTTCTCTGAAAAAAACTGCGGGCAGCTTTGAAGGGACCAGCTGAACAACCGAAGCAGCAAAAGAAGTGGGAGGAGGAGTATGGAAAACCGATAGACTGGAAAGGGAGCATCCAGAAGCGGGACAGTCTGGTCACACCGGGCAGGGCTCGCGAGGTTATCTTGCGACTGCACAGCAAGAACCTCCAAGTCGGAGAGAGACTACACTTCATGCCGGATCGAATCAGCTGCCCACACTGCAAAGAAGTCGAAACCCTAGGGCACTGTTTGCTGGAGTGTAACAGCATACAGCCTGTCATCGGCGCGCTAAAAGGGGCTCTGAGAGAGATGAATCCGAGCAGGGCAGTGGAGAGGCTGGAGGACTTCTTGTTCGCGGATGATGGCACGAAGTCAGGCTTCCCGGAGAAACCGTTGATTGCGGTGGCTTTCCACCAGATCTGGCTGGAGCGGTGTGAAGCGGCTTTTCGGCAGGACAAATTTCAGCCGCGAAGAGTACTCAGGAAGATCGGCGTGAACTTCATGAAACATGTCAGAATCTACAGTGCGTGCAAGAAACAGTCAAAGGGGGTGGCAGACGTGGAGACGGAAGGTGTGGTGCAGAACTGGAAACACCTGGCGAAGGACGAGGCTAGGATGCTGAGCCGGATCTTCGAGGATGAGGACACGCTACTGTGGAAGGAGGGATTCAGATCGGTTTGGAACAACCCGAGAACTATCTTTCATCCACCTTAATAATCCACGGAAGGGTAGTGTAGACCGTTGGTTTGCCAGACCCCTTCCTCCCTCACAGTTACGACTGTGGATGTACCCGCTTTTATAAGTGTAATACATCCTTAAGTGTTGGGACAGTGTTGGGACAGTGTTGCGACAGTGTTGGGACCGTGTTGCGACCGTGTTGCGACATTGTTGGGACGGTTTTGGGACAGTGTTGCGCCAGTGTTGCGACAGTGTTGCGATAGTGTTGCGACAGTGTTGAGACAGTGTTGCGACAGTGTTGTGACATTGTTGCGACAGTGTTGCGACACTGTTGCGACAGTGTTGCGACAATGTTGCGACAGTGTTGCGATAGTGTTGCGACAGTGTTGCGACAGTGTTGCGACAGATTTCGGACGGTGTTGGGACAGTTTTGGGACAGTGTTGCGACACTGCTGGGACAGTGTTGCGACACTGTTGCGAGTGCTGGGACAATGTTCCGACACTGTTGCGAGTGTCGCGACAGTGTTGGGACAGTGTTGCCACAGTGTTGCGAGAGTGTTGGGACAGTGTTGGGACAGTGTTGCGACATTGTTGCGACAGTGTTGCGACAGTGTTGGGACAGTGTTGCGACAGTTTTTGACGGTGTTGCGCCAGTGTTGCGACTGTGTTGCGACAGTGTTGCGACAGTGTTGGGACAGTGTTGGGACAGTGTTGCGACAGTTTTTGACAGTGTTGCGACAGTGTTGGGACAGTGTTGCGACAGTTTTTGACAGTGTTGCGCCAGTGTTGCGACTGTGTTGCGACAGTGTTGCGATAGTGTTGAGACAGTGTTGCGACAGCGTTGCGACATTGTTGCGACAGTGTTGCTTCAGTGTTGCGACAATGTTGCTACAGTGTTGCGACATTGTTGTGACAGTGTTCGGACAGTTTTGGGACAGTGTTTTGATAGTATTGGTACTGTCTTGGGACAGTGTTGGTACAGTGTAATCCGCTTCTCTGTGGAGGTGGTCTGCTTCTCTATGGAGGTGGTCTGTGTCATCCGCTCACGGCATCTGTTGTCACCCTCTCTTGGTTCACTGGTGGAGCGAAAGTGGGGAGGTCGTGTTTCACATTTGGGGTTGTCGGTACGTTGACACATGACCCAAGCGTGGGTGCCCCAAGCAATCTCGTGTGTGTGTGCGTGTGCGTGTGTGTGTGTGTGTGTGTGTGTGTGTGTGTGTGGGTTCGTGTGTGTGTGTGTGTGTCTGTGTGTGTGTGTGCGCGCGCGCGCGTGCGTGTTTGCGTGTGTATGTGGATGTGCATGTGCATGTGTGTGCATGTGTGTGCGCGCACGTGGGTTTGTGCGTACGCGCGTGTGTATGAGAGTGTGGGCGTGTGTGTGTGCATGCGTGCATGCGGGTGGTGGAGGTGGGGCATGCAGGTGGCTCGGAAGCTGCGGCAGGCAGGGGTGTCAGCGCTGGCGTACAGTGCAAAGCTGGGCGTGGCTGACAGAGACGACCACCAGGACAGGTGGGGTGGGGTGCCTGCATGGCGCGCCCGGGCTGTGATGTGTGGCCTGAAGGGACTGAGCGGGCATGCATGCATGGGCGGCGAGGGTATGGGTGTGGGCTGAGAGAAGGTGGCAAGGGGGTGGTTGATTGGAAGGGGTATTGGTCGGCAGCAGTGAGGAAAGGGGGGAGGGCTGCACCGTGATCGCATGTGCAAGTCGTGTTGGTGTACTTGATTGATTTGGCTTACTTGCTTTCCCTCTGCTATTGTTAATCGGAACTTGGCTGTGCATGTTTGTGCGGGGATGTGTGTGAGTGTTTCTGGGTTTGTTGGGGGGAGGGGGGAGGGGTGGGTATTTGTGAGTGCGTGTGTGCGTGGGTGTGGTGGGGGGCCATGGGGGGGAGGAGGAGGGGGTGTGACGGTGCACTGTATTCCCTGCCAGGTGGCGGAAGAAGGAAATTCAAGTTCTTGCAGCAACGGTACTCTCTTCTCTCCACCCTTCACCATGCCCCTTCTCTCTTTCCCCCTTACTTACAGCACCCCCTTCCTCTGCCCCAACCTCTCACCTTCCCAACCCCTCCCCCCCCCGCGCCCCTCCTGCCCTTTTCTTTTGCTGTTCTCGTTCCTATTGCAATGTTGCATGAATCTTCGTACGAGCGTGTGCATGCGGCTTGATGTGTTTCACACGACATTCCATCCATGTCTTTGCCAAGCCCCGTTCACTCGCTTGTTGCATCGATTCGCTTTTCTCACTGCTTTTCCTCGCCACCCTTTCCCCTTCTCCCCCAGCGGCCCTTTCCCCCACGTCCGCCTCTTCCCCTCTCCATCCGTCCCCCTCTTCTCGTTCCACCTGTCCCCCACTTCCCTCTTCCCCTCTCCGCCCATCCCCCCTCTTCTCTCTCCACTGTCCCCCTCTTCCCCTCCCCTCTTGTTCCCATCTTCCCCACTCCCACTGTCCCCTTCACCCTGCGCCCGTCCCCTTCCTTGTGCCATCCCGTATCTGCTCTCACCGCCCATCAGAACGCCTTTGGAGCGGGCATCCACCAGTCTGATGGTCAGTACCCAACCGTCCCGTGTCCTCCTTCTGCATTCCCTTGTTCTCTTTCCCTGTGCAACTGCGCTCAAGCGTTTTGTGTGCCATGTGCCATTGCACCGTTGTCACTGCATTCCACGCATTTGCTGGTTGATGCTTGTCCCAGTCATGCTTCGACTCGCTCACTGCTCATATTACTGTCTGTGCATACACCTTTGTCCAAACATGAGCATCGACTCGCCTCGTTCCTGTTTGATTGATGCGTTAACTCATTCAGAACACTTACTCTATTGCTCTTTGTCCCCGACACTCAATCGCTCACTTACCCTCCTCACTTCCCCTTACCTCCCCTCACTTTCCCTCACCTCCCATCCCCTCCCATTTCCTCCCATCCCCCCCATCCCCTCCCCTCCCCTCCCCTCCCCTCCCCTCCCCTCCCCTCTCCTCCCCTCCCCTCCCCTCCCCTCCCCTCCCCTCCCCTCCCCTCCCCTCCCCTCCCCTCCCCTCCCCTCCCATCCCCTCCCCTCGCCCCCTCCCATGCGCGCGACACAGTGCGGTATGTGATCCACTACAGCATGCCCAAGTCCATGGAGAGCCTCTACCAGGTCAGCGCCCCGTGCATGCCATGCATGCATGCATGTATACATGCGCGCCCAGTGCGCCCCACTGCACATGCCATGCCATGCCACATGTATGAGTCAGTCCTTGCATGACCGCCTAACGCTGTGCTGCTGTCATGTCATCTCACACCACAGCGTGTCGTTGTCTCGTCTCACACCGGTGCCCTCACCCGCACTCCCCCGCTTTGTTTCCTCGAATCCGTGGGGCCTTCTTCACTTGTTTGTATCTCCCTCCCAATGTCCCCCCCCATTCATCCTCCACCCTCACATCACACCCTCACACCCTCCTCCCCCCTCCCTCCACTCTTCACCGTGTGACCACCAGGAGAGTGCGAGGGCGGGCAGGGACAAGCTGCCATGCCACTCCATTGTCTACTTCTCCCCCGCAGACCTCGGCTACATGGTGCGCTGCATGCCATGCCATGCCACGCCCTGCTGTACCATGCCATGCCACCGCACGCCATACCATGCTGCCATGTCATGCATTGCGCCATGGCATGCCATGCCATGCCATACCATGCCATACCATGCCACGCCATGCCACGCCATGCCACGCCATGCCATGTCATGCCGTGTCACAGCCCACCTGCTACTGCTGTGGCCATGCTTCTCCACCCACACCCCTCCCATGCCACTTGCGAGCCCCCTCTATCCAGCCCCTGTTGCCTGCGGACTGCCTTCCATGCCACCGCGAGACTGTTGTCAATGCCTCCATCCATCCATCTCCCTCTGTGCCCTTCCCTGCTCTCAGAAGCGCGCATGTGGGCCCGGGAAGATACGCGAGTTCCACACCTGCAACCAAGTCGCCGCCTACTGCATGGTATGCTGCTGCCTGGCTTATGCACGGTGGTGGGGGGTCGATGGGCGTCAGTATTGGAAGGGTGCATCCATTTGTACATGGTAGTTCTTGTTGTAACCTCCCTCCACATCCTCGTCGTTCCTTCTCATTCCGTCCTCCCTTTTTGCCTGCCCCTCTCCCACCTGCATCACACACCATTCTATCTCCCTCTCCCCTACATCCCTCGGTCCCTCTCCAGCCCACCTGTCCCTGCAATCACATCTCTCATCCCCACTCTGTCGTCTCTCCCTCTCCCCGCCCCCACTCCCCACCTTCCATCCCCCATGCCTGCTCCTCCCCCCATGTGTGCATGCGGGGCATCAGAATCGCAGTGTGTGTCGGCACAAGCTGCTGCTGCGCCACTTTGACCTTGACAGCCCCGACGAGCAGCCCTGTGGAGGTACGTGCTCCGCTGGACTGCCTGCCTGCCACGCGGGCTGGCCTGCTGGGAAGTTGGCTGGGTTGGGGGGATGGGCTCGGTTGGGTTGGGGGGATTGGCTGGGTTGGGGTTGGAGGACTGGCGGGGGTAACACATGTGTTGCTGGGCCAGATGTATGACTTCTGGGTAGGTTTGCACGGCTGCTGCTGCTCTCTCGATGCGTTGCTTGCTTTTGCGCCTCATCAAACGAAGTATCCTCCCTCGTGCATTGTACTTCCATATTAAGTCCGGCACCTCTGACTCAAAATGCTGAATCCATTGCTGAACCCATTGTCGTATTCAACTGTTATTAATGACACGTTCCACTCCATCCATCCATGTGTTGCAACATCCCAACCCCATGGGATGGGTCATCCGCTGCAGGCTTTTGTGACAACTGCAGCAACTCAAGGGGCTTCGAAGAAAAGGACGTCACTCGTAAGCTCCCTCACTTGCCCTCGTAGCTCCCCCTCTCCGTTCTCACACTCGCACACTACGGGCATTTTCTCTGCTTTTCGCTCCCCTCTCACTCGTAAGGGTGTTTTCTTTGCCTTGTGCTCTTCTCTCCCCCGTGCCCCCTTAGCTCTCCCTCCTCGTGCAAGAAGGCTGAAAATGTTCTGTAATATTGTGTTGTCCTGTTCCGTATTCCCTATCCCAACAGTGTACTGTTCCATATTCCGACACTTTGGTGTTATTTATAGTGCTAGTTATGTAATCCGTGGTCCCATATTGGCGTGATCCGAAAGCAAACGATGTTTTGTTCCATTCCATGTTCCGATGATTGTGTCATACACATTGTGAAGATTTGTTTTCCCTGTTCCGAAACTTGTGTTCCATGATCCTGCACTGTTATGTCACATGTCCCAGCAGTGTTGTGTTTCACTTTCCGAAAATGGTGTTTGAACCCGGATCTGCATCAGGAGCATTTGGGCATGTTGCTTGTTATCTCCTTCTCCATGCCCTCCTGCTCATCTGCTGCCTCTGAAACTCCTCCCAACTCAATTCAGGTTTCATCTCAAGCAAAAAATCCCCCCCTACACCAGTTCCCCACCACTCCCTTCCCCCCTCCAACCCATCGTTCCCTCGCCCTCTGTCCCCCCTTCATTCCCCTCCTTCCTTTCCCCCACCGCTCCTCCCCCTATCCCCCCCCGCATCCCGCCGTGCAGCATACGCCATGCTGCTGGCGCGCATCCTGGCGGACTCGCCCACGCCCCTCACCGCCCCCCAGCTCGCCAACGAGTTCTTCCGCTCCGGCGCTGCCTCCGGTGAGCGGGGGCGAGGGTGGTGGAGTGGAGAAGGTGGGAAGAACGGAGGGGAGGGAGAGGAAGGGGGGAGGGAGAGGGGTGTGAGAGGGGAGGGAGGCATTGTCACACCGGTCCACGTGCATCCAGGGTCTGTCTGTACTCAGTGGGACCGTTGCTGCCACCGTTCCCGACTCCTCATGCCTTGTACTCTGTACTCAGAGTATGCAAGTCTCGTATACACCCTCGAGTCCACCAGCATCCCTCTTCCGAGCTCGCCTCATACTCTGCCCGCCTGCCACCACGCCCTTCATGCTCCCTTATGCTGCAAGTCGAGTTATCATGTCTACTCCCCTCTTCTTCGTTCTCTCGTGCCTTCTCCCCTCTAAACCATCTCTTAAACATTCCTCGCCCTTGAATCACCTTCCCCTTCAACATCTCCCTTCCCTTCCCCACGCACGCATTCTCTCCTGGGCTGCTTGTGTGGAGCAGAGGCGGCAGCACTGATGAGTCAATCTCAAGCTCAAATGGCTGCACAGCCCCCAGGTCAAGACGCCGCAATGCCTGCTGCCACCGCCGCTGCTGCTATGCCTGCTGACTCCACCACTGCTGCTACGGTTACCACTGCTGCTGTGTCTACCGCTGGTGCTGCTGGTGCTGCGGTTACCAGTGGTGTTGCTGCTACGGCCGGTGCAGCAGACAGCAGTGCTGTGGGGGAAACCATCTCGCCTGACGCTGCGCTTGCAACCCCTCCATCCGCTGCTGCTGCAGCTGCTGATTCCATCTCCCATGCTTCCACTGCTTCCACCGCCCTTAGTGAAACAGCACAACCCCTCCCACACACCCCGCTCCCTGCTCCTGTCACTCTCTCATCTTCTCCCACTGCTGCCGCCCCTGCCACTCCAGCCGCCCCTGCCACTCCAACCGCCTCCGCCACTCCTACTCCTGCCACTCCTGCCACAGCCACTGTTGCCCTCCAAGCACCCGCACCACCGGTGGCAGTGAAGCCTCTGCCCCGTGCGGTGGTGCAGCACCTCATTCTGCTGCTCGTGTGCCAGGGCTACTTGGTACGTCACCAAGCATCAAGCTAGCTAGCTAGCTAGGTACCCATTGCCCACCTAGTATGTGCACTCTTCATAGTAGATTGTCTAGTGCTGGATGCACTGAGGTGAGCGGTCACTGCTTAATTAACAGTGCATACAGGCCGTTGGCCCTTGCACAGCAGGTAGGGACAGCAGCGCAGAGCAACGGACCATTGCTGCCTGCACAGGCTGTTCATCTCACTGCAATGGCAAAAATAAGATTCACAGCATTTGCTTTGGGAAGCTCTGGGTGTTAGTCTGCAGGTCAATGCATGTGATCCAGATTCTGAACCTCTTGCACTTGCCCCTTCCCCTTCCCCTTCCCCTTCCCCTTCCCCTTCCTCTTCCCCTTCCCCTTCCCCTTCCTCTTCCCCTTCCCCTTCCCCTTCCCCTTCCCATTCCCCTTCCCCTTCCCCTTCCCCTTCCCCTTCCCCTTCCCCTTCCCCTTCCCCTTCCCCTTCTGCTTCCCGGACCCCTCCTTCCCCTGGGCCATGGGCAGGTGGAGGCGGTGCAGGGAGTGGGGGAGAGCAAGGTGGTGCGCCTGGTTCCCACGGACAGGACCGAGGACATGGTGGCAGGTGGGGAAGGAGAGCAGGAAGCGGGGGGGAAGGGGGGAGGTGTGGGGAGGGAGGAGAAACTGGGAGGCTGGGAGAACAGGGGGAGAGTGAGGGGTGGGTGGACGACTCTAGGAGCGGGTATGGGGAAGAGAGGAAGAAGTGGTTGCTTCTGCTGGAGAGGCATGAGGGAATGTGTAATTATTAATACTTGCTGTTTTTAATCACTAATTTACCTGCCACAGTGCAGTGTCTCTTTTTCGCTTCATTCCCCTCCTCTCTCGTTGTCCTCCCCCTTCCCCTCCCCGTTCCTCTTCCAACTCCTTCCACTTTACCTTCTCCTTCCCTTCTCCTTGCCCTTCCCTCTCCCCGCCCCGCCCCTCCCATCCCTCTGACCCCACACTCCCCCTGCCGGCTATGTGCCCATGGCCCTTCCTCTCTTGAGACGCCTCAATAACCATCCCCCTGACCAGGCCTCGTGCCCATGTCCATGCCACTCCGCCGTCCCGCGCCGCCCAGGAGCCGCCTTGCCAAGGCAACTGCAGCAGATGCCTTTGGTGGGAGATTGAAGGGGGGCGAGGGGGCAGCAGGCAAGGAGGGGAGGGAGGGGGTGTCGAGTGAGAGGGAGGGCAGGGATGAGTGCGCAGATGTGCTTGTATCGGACTGGCATGGGGACTTTCTGGATGATGAGGACGGGGGTGAGGGGGAGGAGGATGGGGAGAAGGGAAGAGAGGAGCAAGTGGAGAAGGGAGGGGAGGACGAGGAGGAGGAGGATACAGTGACGGTTGCTACCAGGGTGGAGAGAAGGAAGATTGCCAAAGCCAAGGCTGCTGGAGAGAGGGCAGAAAGGGGCGGACGGAAAGTAAGGGGGAGGGAGAGGGGGAGGGGGACGGGGATAGGGAAGCGGAAGTGGAAGGGTGCAGAGCAGGAGGAGGTGCAGGAAGGGGATTCCACTGCGGAGAAAGAAGGGGAGGAAGGGAGCCATGGGGAGTTGTTGGCTGGTGCTGTAGCTCCTGCTGCTGCAAAGGATGGTGAAGTGCAGGTGGGCGCGTTGAGCAGGGAGGGTGGGAGGGGGAGGGTGAAGGGGACGGGGAAGCGGAAGCGGAAGGGTGCAGAGCGGGAAGAAGTGCAGAAAGGGGATTCCACTGCGGCGAAAGAAGGAGAGGAAGGGAGCCATGGGGAATTGTTCGCTGGTGCAAGATCTGCTGCTGCTGCAATGGATGGTGAAGTGCAGGTGGGCACATCGACCAGGGGGGGTGGGAGGGGGAAGCGGGGAAGGCAGGGCAAGGGGTCTTCACGTGGCGCATACAAGTCCAGAGCTGTCTCGCCTGCTAGGGCTGGTGCTGCTCGGGAAACACGGTACACAGCTGCATTGGATGCTGTTGATGCTGATACAGATGATGCTGCTGATGCCCCTGCTCACACTGCTGCTGCCAGAGGTCCTACCAGTGGTGCTGTTACAGGTGCAGACAAGCATACTGATAAGGCAGACCAGTCCCATCAGCCACAGCAGCAGCCACGGCAGCAGCAGCAGCAGCACCCGCAGCAACAGCCGCAACAGCAGGCACAGCAGCAGCAGCAGCAGCAGCAGCAGCAGCAGACAGCGTGTGGGAAGGAAGTGCAGCTGGAGGAGGCGAAGTGGAGCGCAGGGGAGCAGGAGCGCAGGGCAATGGCAGAGCTCTTCATAGCGCACGTGGCTCCCCAGTGCAGCGCACGCATCCTGCAGAGCTGCGCGTGGATCCACGAGGTCACAGCCACTGCTGCCAAGATGCTCGACAAAGATGCACAGCGCTTGGCCCAGTCAACCCAACGCGTTCACGCGGCCGGCAAAGGAGGAGTAGGGGTGGATGTGCGTGCAGGGGAGGCAGAGCCTGGGAAGCATCAGGAGGGCGGTGCAGCGCTGGGCAGTGGTGGTGATCAGGGGGGGATGGGTGACCTTTACGATGAGGAGGGTGATGATGGGGATGAGGGAATGGAAGAGGGGTTTTTAGGGTGGAAGAGAAAGCGGGACGGGGAGGAGGAGGAGGAGGAGGAGGAGGAGGAGGAGGAGGAGGAGGAGGAGGAGGAGGAGGAGGAGGAGGAGGAGGAGGAGGAGGAGGAGGAGGAGGAGGAGGAGGAGGAGGAGGAGGAGGAGGAGGAGGAGGAGGAGGGAGAGGAGGCGAAGAGAGCCCGAGAGGAGATGGCAGTGTGGTGGGAGGAGGAAGGAGGCAGCAGGGCCATGGCAATGGTTCTCAGGGAGTCGATGAATGACTTGTCCCGGCGACTGGAAGCAAGAAAGCGAGCATATATGAAGTCTGTAGTGTTTCAGGAATGAACGTGCAGCAATGCACTAGTCAAAGCCAAGGCCGACAAATTGGGTGTAGGTCACCCTTACGGTGGTGACCTTTATGTCATGTCTTTTTATCAGGTTGCCACACCTTATTTTCCCTTCCTTACCTGGCACAGTTAGGCCATGTATTACCCTGAAAACGACCCTGACATCACTGAAATCGGGATAGTTGCAAGTGCTAAGGGCTATTTAACGGATATTGATAGAAATAGGCACTCCGACAAGTCAGGGAGAGTCATTGCGAAAGAACAAAAAGAAAAAGAGATTGCAAAAGAAAATAGACTTTGTTGCATGAATCTTCTCCAAACTTGGAGTGGAGTGCCTACTTCAGGTCAGATCAGAGCTTATTTTGTTAGTGTAATCACCTTGTTACAGTCTCACCAAATGCCGCGGGCCTGCTGCATCCCCGAAGCCAACACCTCCAGCGTCAGCACCCCAGAACGAGCATCCCCAGGGTCCGCACCTTCTGCATCTACACATCCAGGACCTCTAGAGTCAACAGCAACCAGCCGTTGTAGTGAGAACTGCTGCAGCTGCAATGAAGGCTGCTGCGGGGACTGTGAGGACGAGGCCGGGAATGACAGAGACTGTGGGTTGACGAGCGACACACCAAACGGGGCAAGATGCGAGGGGTGGGGAGCTACCGGAGGAGTGGGACTAGGGGGAGGGACAGGAGTGAAGAGAAGGGGATCGTGGAAATCGGGGCACCTCAGTAGGGATGAGGAGTGTAAAAACAGACAGACTCATTAAAGATGATGTCTTGAGAGCTCAGGAACAGTGAGACAAGGGTGGTAGAACAGTAGGCCATGGCATCAAGGGGGAAACCGAGGAAGACAGAGGATAGTGCGGGCGGAGAGCTTGTCCGCGCGAGGAGAGCGCACGTTAACAAGGCACCCCCGAACACGAAACATCGCTGCAACACCAGGAAACCCGGTCCGGAGGAGGGTCGGCGTAACTTGAGGGTGTGAGTTACGGGGCCACAGGCTGATGTGCGGCATTGCGGACTGCAAAAGGCCACAAACAATTGGGGTGCAATGGCATGGCGCATGGAGGTATGAGCGATCTCCTTGACCAAGCCAATGCGACGCTCAGCAACCCCATTCTACGGCAGTGAGTTCGGCAGCTTGTAGGTCTGGGTGATGCCTTTATCCTGACAGAATCGGCTGAAGCGATGAGAGGCGAACTCGCCACCACGGTCAGAGTGCATACGAAGCACATGACGGTCGTTCTGTGTGTTGCGGCCACCAACCATGGCATGAGCGCATCAATTACGTCAGCCTTCTGTTGCAAAGGAAGCACCGTGGTGCAGTTAGAGCAATCGTCCTCAGTTACCAAGAGGTAGTGCTCCTGGTACGACAAGGGACGAGGGCTAGGCCCCAAACGTCCATTTGCAAGGTCGGATGAAGAGCACGGGGAAGTGTGGAGGAGTGAGGGGCAGCGCGCTGCCGACCCTCGACATAGGGAGTGCATGACGGCACAGGCTAGGGAGCGAGCAGGGCGAGCGACACTGAGGGACCTAAGACCAGATGGTGGTGAACCATGTCATGGAGACGCGAGAAGGAGGGGTGACCTAGACGGTGGTGTTACAGAAGCAATGGGTGCGTGACCGACAAGACCACGACGCTGCATCCTAACCTGACTCGGTAACCTGGGGGGACCCAGAGCGCAGTAAGAACGGACCTGACACAGGCTCCCGGTGGAACTTGGCAAGGGGCACCCTAGTGGTAGTATCCTTCCAGATCGCAAACCACTCGTGCCCAAGAGACATGGTGGTGATGCCAAGGTCCTGAAGACAATCGGCACCCACCAAGTTCTTAGAGAACAAGGGAACATGCAGACCTGTGAGGTACCCAGAAGGGACTACCGGACACGGGAGAGTAGTGGTGTTGCGAGCGACGATTGGTCCGGAGGTGGGATCGGTCAAAACGACTTGAAAGGGGACTTGAAGTGGCGTGAAGCCGGCGTGGTCGTGAAAGAAGCACGGAGACGCACCAGAGTCAAGCGTGAAGGAGAGATACACTTCAGAAGTGGCCGCACCTAGACAAGCAGCAGAAGCAGGTCCTACACTAGCAGGTCCTACACTATCCTAGGCTAGAGATACACGAATAATAAGGTCCATCAACACAATATTCAGGAGCATAGGAGCAAACAACAACGCATCATGAATCACAGACATCTCCGTAAACAAGATAGGCAGTTGATGGCGGAGCAACGCACCCCAGTTCGGGACCTGCACTGTAGGTCCGTAGTGGGCGTGGTAAACATCAGAGAGGCTGCTGAAGCACCGCACAGAGTGGTCAGCATGGCGCAGACCTGGCCAGCATGCGGTCCAGTCTGAATCATGTGCTAGTAGGACCCACGGTCACGGACAGTGCTCCCAAGGCCAACCGAGGCCCACTGCTGTTGCTAAACTTACGGTTGGGCCCACGGCTGAAACTGATGAGGCTGCTGCTGCTGACCCTGGCCCTGCTGCTAATGTGGTATCTGTTGCTGGGGCTACTGCTGCTGTGGAACAGTCACATCCCCAAGGCCAGCACCTCCTCCATGCGCTCCACCAAACCCAGAACCTCCAGGTGAGCCTAATCCTCCTCTGTCGAGAGGACTACAGAGTGGAGTGAAGCACATCAAGCTGCGGTAACTTCTTGCTGTGAGATCTGCAATGATGTGGCCAAGCACGCTTGGCCTCAGAGGCCAACACTGCAAACATCTTCACCAAGGCTCTCCCACCTGGTGACCACCACAGATTTCGTTTGCAGCTTGGCCTTGTTCACACAGGTCCTTGTACAGTGTAGCATTGCCTTTATTTTCTTGTACTACTTGTTTTGTTGTTAATATATAGTGTACATATAACTCTTGAACTATCTTTGTGGCCATTTGTCTCAAGGGCTGGCTAGTTGTACCACCCTAAGTTGAATCTCTTGTTTTGTTGCGTTTGTTGGCTGGTCTTGTGACCACCTATTCCATTGGTTGGACTAGCTGATCCGGCCAGATTTGTTGCTTCTCTTGCTTGTGTGATGCCCCTCATCTAGCCAATCGGGATGTGTCAAATTATGTATGAGTTGGTTTCAGGCTATAAAGGATTTCTCCTTCGTGAGTACAACTTTTTTGCATCATTAGGGTTCCTATTTTGCATCACCTATCTCCTAGTTTAGCCCATTATGCTGTTCTAATTTGACATTGTTGACAAGAATAGGGTGCTGGCCCCGCCCTCGCTTGGGCGAAGCCGACGTAGTGGTCGGGTGCACAGGAGGTGCGGCCGACCATCCGCAGAGGTCGACGCGTGCAAGTCGACGGAGTTGGTCGGCCTGCAAAAGACTGTTGCGGAGTCGCCGACGATGGGAAGCCGGCGGCAGATTTCGTCTAGCGTGGTCGACGAAGGGGTTTGTCGACATGCCTTGGGTGTGGTCGACGAAGGAGGTCGTCGACCTGCGTGGGATCGTCGAAGAGGCCGTCGACGGTAGATGTTCGACAGCGGCAGCTTATCGAGCTGGTCGACGGAGGGGTCCAACGGGAGCAGTGGTCGATGAGGGAGGTCGTCGACCAGGGCGCTGGGTGGTCGACCGGGTCGACCAGGTAACCTCGACGAGGTTCCGCGGAGGCACCCGAGCCTTGTCGAGGCTGCGATGGCGAGGGCGACCTCGGGCTGGTATCCCCAGGTCGATGTGGAGCGTCGGGCACAATTGTCGGCATGTGGCCGACTCGGCACCTGCGCGACGGTAAAGAACGTGCTCGACCGTCACCGCGAACATGCGAAGTGGGTGCGCACTTGCGCTACTATCACCTACAGGTGCAACGCTAGCAGACCGCTCTGCTGCAGCGTTGGCAAGCCGCTTTGTCGCCCTACTCTGTTGAGGGGTCGCCTTTCTGTAATGCTGGCTCGGTGCCTCTACGCAATGCTGGCAGATCGTCGACTTTGCTGCGTTGTCAGTTGACCTGCTTGTCTGCTAGGTTGCTAGGCTCTGATGTAGTCATTCTTGGTGATGTGATTGCTATTACTATGTAATGCAACTT